ACAACAACCTGAATTTCAGCACCCATATCCAACACATAACAAAAAAAGTATCCAAAACGGTTGGAATCCTCTCCAAGATATGATACTACGTGCCGCAAACTGCCCTTCTCACACTATACTATTCACTCATTTATCCATACCTCACCTATGCTATTTGTGCTTGGGGATCAACTGCAGCAACACACCTAAAGCCAGTAATAACCAAACAAAAAGCTGCAGTAAGAATAATCACTAAATCCCATCCCTGGCAACACCCTCCCCCCCCCCCCACTATTCATAGATCTAAACTTACTCCCTGTTCAAAACATCCACACTTACTATTGTGCAATCTACATCTACATGACCTTAAATTCCAATATTAACCTTGACCTAAAATGCTTTCTTGATAGTTGTGACAGGACCCACAGGCATAACACCAGACACAAACATCTCTATGACATTCCCCGTGTCCGACTAAACCTTTACAAAAATTCTATGTCAAAGGGCCTAAAACAGTGGTTCCCAACCTTTTCTTACTCCCGCACCCCTATAAAATTTTTGCTCTAACCTCGCACCCCCTACAATTTAAACTTTGTTCAAGGATAATGGATGTGGAATCATAATAAATTTTATCAAAAGAAGATATTTATTTCACTTTCTAATATAATATGTGAACAAAAATCAAACTTACAGAAAAGAAACATATCACAGAATGATATTTGAATACACCTTACAAAAATAATAACTCTTGCTTCAAATATATACAAAAATGTAAAATCAAGAACTAGCTTTCAAACCTTTAGAAAGGAGTTTTATTTTTTAATATGTAAAAAATCAAACATATGGACAAGAAAGGATGTCTCCGATTAACATTTGAATATACCATACAAAAAATAGTTACTTTCTTTAAATATGTACAAGATAATAAAATCAAAAGGCTGACTTCTAAATAGAACCATAGCCGAGCACCAATACAGTGGACCCCCGCATAACGATTACCTCCGAATGCGACCAATTATGTAAGTGTATTTATGTAAGTGCGTTTGTACGTGTATGTTTGGGGGTCTGAAATGGACTAATCTACTTCACAATATTCCTTATGGGAATAAATTCGGTCAGTACTGGCACCTGAACATACTTACGGAGTGAAAAAATATCGTTAACCGGGGGTCCACTGTACTCTCCAAAAGTTTTACTCTCAAATTGCATTTCAAGAGCACGATTTGAACGCAGATCTATAAGATCTTCTTTCAGCTCTCCATCATCAAGTGATGGACGCTTCTCACACCCCCTGGAATGATGTCTCGCACCCCAAGGGGGTGCGAGCATCCCAGGTTGGGAACCCCTGGCCTAAAATCTGGAACACCCTACCTGAAAACTCTAGAACTGCAGACACATTCATCACCTTCAAAACTACCGTTAGACAACATCTTATCTCCCTGATACACCCCGACAACTAACTACATGAAAACCACCTGTTCACACTTACACTCACTCACCCACTTGAGTATAATCACAGAAATACGAATCTTAATCATAAAATAATGAATCCTAACTAGTCATAAGTTTGCCTGTGATACTACAATATAGAACCTGTGTATTGTGCCAAAACAAAAGCATTTACATTGCTAAACTCACAAACTATAATGTAGTCACTTAGCCTTAATACCAACTTACTCCATAATCTGTATTAATTTAGAGTTAAGAATTAATCTAAGTCTGCCCAAAATGCCTAACCATGCTAGGTGTCATAGTAGTCCACTCTGTAATTAGTATTTTATAACATGTAAACCACACAATATCCAAAATCTGTAAACCCCGCATTGTAATCTTTATAGAGAATAAACCTGATTGATTTATTGACTGATAACGAGGTATGCCACGAAACATCTAAGGTGACAAATCGTTTTAGTTCCTACTACACATCTGTTACATCAACACTAGTAAGTAAACTACCAGCTGCATCAAATACCTTTAACACAGACTCTGATAAGCTTCAAACATACTATACCAATAAAGGGGTAACCCCAAACAGTTGTCAACTAGTAAGTGTATCTCGTGACTTTATTCAAAGAGAACTAAGCAGGTTAAACCCAACTAAGAGCACTGGCCCGGATAACATCCCATCTAAGTTCCTAAAAGATGGTGCTTCTGAACTGTCAATCCCTATTGCTCACATGGTATGAAGAAAGGTTAAGGAAAATCGGCCTGACAACACTGAAGGACAGGAGGGTCAGGGGAGACATGATAACGACACATAAAATACTGTGCGGAATAGATAAGGTGGACAAAGACAGGATGTTCCAGGGAGGGGACACAGAAACAAGAGGTCACAATTGGAAGTTGAAGACTCAGATGAGTCAAAGGGATGTTAGGAAGTATTTCTTCAGTCGTAGAGTTGTCAGGCTGTGGAACAGCCTAGAAAGTGATGTAGTGGAGGCGGGAACCATGCATAGTTTTAAGATGAGGTTGGATAAAGCTCATGGAGCAGGGAGAGAGAGGACCCAGTAGCAACCAGTGAAGAGGCAGGGCCAGGAGCTAAGACTCGACCCCTGCAACTACAAATAGGTGAGTACATAATAAATCTGTCAATCACCACTAATACCGTACTGGAGTGGTTCAAGGAGGCCAGAGTTACTCCTGTCTTCAAGAAAAATAGTAGGTCTGATGTAAGCAACTGTTAGTATACTCAGTATAATATCCAAAATTCTAGAGAGGGCGGTGTACTGTCATGTAGTTAAGTACCTTAATGACAACAACATTCTTCATAGCTATCAATCGGGCTTCAGAAGACCTTACTCACCCGACACCTTCCTAATTAATCTGATGGATTACCTGAGAACTGAAATGTCAATGGGGAGCCTCATAGGTATGGTAACCTTAGACCTGCAAAAGGCCTTTGATACTGTCAACCATAATATATTATGTAAGAAACTTCAAGCTATCGGTATAGGTTCTGTAGACTGGTTTAAGTCCTACCTTAGCAACAAGAGACAAATTGTCAAAATCAACAAAACGGTATCAGAACCCCTGCCGATAACGTGTGGAGTTCCCCAAGGTAGTATTCTGGGTCCCTTATTATTCTTATGTTATGTCAATGACATACCTATCAGTGTCAAATGCAAACTCCTACTGTATGCAGATGACAGTGCTCTGTTAGTGTCAGGTAAAGACCCACAAGATATAGCTAATGTATTAACACTTGAACTGGAGTCCTGCAGCAAATAGTAGACAACAAACTATCATTACACCTTGGGAAAACTGAAGCCATTCTCTTTGGCACGAAACATAAACTGACAAGGGTAAATAATATGTCCAGTGTAATGGGGAGCCCATCACCTTGGTTTCATCAGTAAAATATCTGGGAATCCCCTTTGACCATGCATGTCAGGAGAATTGATAGGGAACAGTGTAGTAAAGAAAGCGAATGCCAGACTGAAGTTCCTCTATAGAAAAGCACAGTGTCTACCTACTGAGGCTCGCAGGACCCTATGTCCAGCTCTTATAGTGTCATATGTACTACGCTTGCTCTTCATGGTACTCTGCCTTGACAAAAAAACTGAAAGATAGACTGCAAATCACCCAGAACAAAATTGTGAGATTCAATTTGGGCCTAGGTCCAAGAGAGCATGTAGGCCAGGATGAATTACAGCAGTTGGATATGCTGAATGTTGAAGACAGAATAAAACAACTGAAGCTAAATCATGTTTACAAAATTGCTCACAAACAATGTTCAGAATATCTTGCTGCTAATTTTGTCAAGGTTGGGAACCAAAGTAATCATAGTACTAGGGAGAGGGAGCACAACTTTGTAGTCCCTCTTCAGTACAGGAAAGACTGTACTATAACTTAAATTGCCAGGCACACCATCTAAAGGGGACAAAAAGATACAAAACATACAGGCCATGGGAAAACCTGGGTAGCCACAGCCACTCAAGAGGGAGAGGTTTTTTAGTGCCAGGAAAAAAAAAAAACTGGTAGGAAATGGCGGAAATAGTACGCCAAATCCAACCGATAGCACTAACATCCCATATCATAAAAATCTTTGAAAGGGTCCTAAGAAGCAAGATCACAATCCATCTAGATACCCATCAATTACACAACCCAGGGCAACATGGGTTTAGAGCAGGTCGCTCCTGTCTGTTTCAGCTACTGGATCACTACAACAAGGTCCTAGATGCCCTAGAAGACAAAAAGACTGCAGATGTAATATATACAGACTTTGCAAAAGCCTTCGACAAGTGTGACCATGGCGTAATAGCACACAAAATGCGTGATAAAGGAATAACAGGAAAAGTTGGTCGATGAATCTATAATTTCCTCACAAACAGAACAAAGAGAGTAGTAGTCAACAGAGTAAAGTCTGAGGAGGCTATGGTGAAACGCTCTGTTCCTCAAGGCACAGTACTCGCTCCCATCTTGTTTCTCATCCTCATATCTGACATAGACAAGGATGTCAGCCACAGCACCGTTGTCTTCCTTTGCAGATGACACCCGAATCTGCATGACAGAGTCTTCCATTGCAGATACTGCAAGGCTCCAGGCGGACATCAACCAAATCTTTCAGTGAGCTGCAGAAAACAATATGAAGTTCAACGATGAGAAATTTCAATTACTCCGATGTGGTAAACATGAGGAAATTACAACTTCATCAGAGGACAAAACAAATTCCTTCCACAAAATAGAGCAAAAAACCAATGTCAAAGACCTGGGAATGATCATGTCGGAGGATCTCACCTTCAAGGACCATAACATTGTATCAATCGCATCTGCTAGAAAAATGACAGGATGGATAATGAGAGCCTTCAAAACTAGGGATGCAAAGCCCATGATGACATTCTTCAGGTCGCTTGTTCTATCTAGGCTGGAATATTGCTGTACACTAACAGCACCTTTCAAGGCAGGTGAAATTGCTGACCTAGAAAATGTACAGAGAACCTTCACAGCGTGCATAACGGAGATAAAATACCTTAATTACTGAGAGCGCTTGAAGTTCCTGAACCTGTACTCCCTGGAACAAAGGCGGGAGAGATACATGATTGTATATACCTGGAAAATCCTAGAGGGACTAGTACCGAACTTGCACACAAAAATCACTCACAACGAAAGCAAAAGGCTCGGCAGACGATGCAACATCCCCCCAATGAAAAGCAGAGGTGTCACTAGCACATTAAGAGACAATTCAATAAGTGTCAGGGGCCTGAGACTGTTCAACTGCCTCCCAGCATACATAAGGGGGATTACCAATAGACCCCTGGCTGTCTACAAGCAGGCACTGGACAAGCACCTAAAGTTGGTACCTGACCAGCCGGGCTGTGGCTCGTACGTTGGATTGCATGCAGCCAGCAGTAACAGCCTGGTTGTGAAAATTTGTCTGGACTGCCTCCAAGTGAGTCACCTACCCTGGCAAACTCTGTTGACACCAAGCTCTGAGGTTGGTACCTCAGCCTCACAAGTGGCTTATAGGACAGATTTTCACAAATGATTGATGTTGCAAGAAACTCGCCTGCATGCATGTATAAAGGACTAACTTACTTGGTGTTGCAGCAAATATCCTGATCTTCATCCTTCCTAAGCTTAGCCCCTTTGGACTTCCCCTCAGAAACCACGTGCAACCGGGAGCTTTAATTCCTGCAATATTCAATTGTTATTAGTGACCTGCCTGCACCTCAGAAATTCCTATATCCAAGGGGGTGTGTATCCCCTAGTACAACTATGCAGACACGGACACTAGCTTCTAGGTAGACAAGAGACACTGGTACGTACTGGGCATGCACTGCCAGTTGCATACAGGCCTACAGTTCAACTCACTCACAATTTTTCCCCAGACACTGGCCAGAAATCCTAAGAGAAAGTGGAGGTTTTGTCTTACTGTATGGGTCTGACGGAGGAGGTCATCTACGGTACATCGAAGTGCCTCTACCACATTTCCCCAGATCTCAAATGTGAAGACACGTGGGGGGCGCCATCTGCTGATCACGGCACGTGTTGTCCAGTTGGTGTCTGTCTACAGAAGGGAGAGCTCATGTCTTCCAGACCCGCGCCTCATCCTTCAAGCTAGGGCTGCCAGTTCTCCCTAGCTAACTTAACCTAGTGTTTGCCTACATTATTGGCCTATTACTACCTATGTTAAGGTCTTAGGTCTACATTATTATCATCTACAGTTGCCTTAGTAAACCTAATATTAGTGTACTACCAGTAAAACTACCTACTCCTTCCCTGAAGGGTAAATCCATAACTTAAATAGTGCTTACCAACCACGCCAACTCGGGGAGAACACTTTTTGTTTGGGTGGGTTTAAGGGCCACCCAGCTCAGCCGTTCCATTACGGCCATTCTGGGACCCCCTTTGTACGCCGTATCTGTCCTGTGGAACTTTAGGGACCAAATAAATTTCCACATCCTCCCGCCGGCGAAGGTAGGTACTAGGTCTAAATCAAGTTCACCTTCCGCGAGCCCCCACGGCGGACCCTGGACACGAGTGCCGTCCGGCCACTCTCGTCGAGCAGACTCTGGTCTAACTTCAACCGTCCAGTTTCCCCTGCGTGGACCTCTGGGGGTGTAAACTTGTTGGTTCCGGTGGTCTTAGCACCCTTTCCTTTAACTTTAACGTCTTTCGTATGTCTAGCCTTGACTGAGCGGCTCCGTACTTTCCCACCCAGTGGCCCACATGCCCTGGTAGCCTTTCGTCCCACTGATACGAGGTTCCCTGGATTTAATGGCAATCTATCTCCCTCTTTACGTACCCTGTACAAGTGTTTTCCCAAGGTGGCCGAGTGTTTGTCACTCCCTACCTGGTTCAGCTTCCCTGGCGGTCCATCGTGTATACTGGTATTCATTATCACTACTCCCCCAACTATCATGGGGACAGCTTCTCCTCTATCTGGCGTGGCAGGGAATTCAGGTGGAATCCTGCCGCCTATGATGTATCCTACTGGGGATCTGTATAAACCAATTCCTTCCTTAAACGTCCGTCGTGTAGACAGGAAGTCATCTATATGATTGGCTCCCACCAGGATACCTACATTTCTGACTGTGTCAGTGGTAATTCCCTGGTCTGCCAGCTTCACGTCAAGGTCTTTCAATCGCTTAGCTGCTGCAGCAAGACCTCTCGCTGTAATTGCCGTGGGTAGCATCTCTACCACCAAGGCTGTAATGTCTCTGCGATGTCCACCTAATTTGACTGTGACATCCACCACATCATAAGATTTGGGTGGGACCTGACTTATAGCCCCTCCCAACATCATACTAACTTTCTTTGTGGCCTTCAACTTTAAATTAGCCACCAACTTCTTTGTTATCGAGGATACTTGTGCTCCTGGGTCTAAGAATAATCGGGTTGTTTCGGACCTGTGCCCATTCACAACCTTTGCCATGACTGTAGGTAGGGCAACACCCCCATGATTCTCACTCGGATTAGAGACTTCACTCCCACTAATCAGCTTGGCTACCATTTCAGGCTCGGACTCACTTTCTATCTCTACCTGAGAGATATCCCTACTAGCCTGGGGTTCCCGTAAATTATTGGGACATAGTGCAGTATGGTGCTTACCTTTGCAACAGACCCGACACTCACTGAGCTGGGTGCCACAGTCTCTCGCAAAGTGTTCCCCACAACACTTGAAGCAGAGTCTCAACTCCCTTAGTCTCTGTTGCCTACTGCTCAGTGTTGTATACTCCGGGCAACTCGTGCTAGCGTGTTCGCCTTCGCAGAACACACATATTCTGGCATGAGTGCCTCTAAGGTTCTGCTTAGAGGTTCTTACCTTAGACACTTCTTTACCATAGTACACTACAACGTTAGTCGTACGAGCTTTAGACTGATCTCTCAAGATCTTTGAGTAACTTTCTGGGTTTTTATGTGGCGATGGTGGTGACTCTTCTCTCACACCTATACTCAAATGAGAAACGAGATCTCCCAACCCCTCAACAATTTGTTGTATCGTGAACCTATTTGTCCGATATTTTAAGTGTAACTCATGCACTGTAGTGCCAGCCAGTTTCCTCTGAATCACCTGACTGATGAACCATTCCAACTTACCCCAATCATGTAAATCTTTAAGACTATTCGTCAAACTCATAACTTCAATTCGGAACTTCTGTAGGCTCTGACGGTCATGGCGACAAGCCTCTAGATCCAACAACTGATAAAGTATAGCTACCTTTATCTCCTCAGTGTTGCCAAACGTGTCCTTTAATTGGTCTTTGGCATGTTGGTAATTGGTGTCGGTGGTTTGGTAATGCCGGACCAAGTCCAAGGCTTTACCCTTGAGCTGTGAACGTAAATATTGTAATTTGACGGCATCTGACAAATCGTCTCTGTCATCTATCTGGGCTTTAAACTGATCCCAGAAAGCAATGTACTCTGTTAAGGTTCCGTCGAACGTTGGTAAATTCAACTGAAGCAATCTGGGCAACACATTAACAGGCGTGCTGTTGTTCATGTTCCTTGAAACATTTGCTGCCCCTGCTGTACCGGCCTTCAAAGTCTTTATTAACTGCCTGCAGAGTCTCATCTCTGCTTTACACTCTGCCCTTTGTTTGTCATAGTCCGTCCGTGCTACTTCGACTGTATATTCAGACTCACCTCTAGTATAGGCCTCTGTCTCATAAAGGATAAATGATCTCTCAAAGGCCTCCAGTCTTTGCTCCAAAGGTTTCAGGCAACTCTCTAGTTCCTCCCAGTCTACGTCCTGATCTTGCCTGACCATACGACACTCCTCACATGCTTTGCTCAGGCGTCCCTTATAGGCTCCCATAGACCGCTTTAATTGACTTAGCGCTGGGACAGCTGGTACTACATCTTCACCTACCATAGTTGCAGTTTAGTTAAGATCACGGTACTAATTTGTACTTCAATTAGCCCACCCCACAGCATGAACGGTATTAGGCAAGAATGAACGAGTCTCAAGGCTTCTCAACAAGCTTGACAACTCCCTTTATTATATTGACTCTACTCTGAATAAAAAATGTACACTGTTAGCTCTCAAATCCCAATCGAAATGTGTATCGATGTGAAAGCTTAACCTAGCAATTTCCTGTACAATGTAAGCAAATAATTACAGGACTTAACCTAGTCTCAGGTACAATTCACAAATCCCACATTAAAATGAATCAAAGACAATGAAAATCACACAATAAAAATGCAGTATACAAATTAAAAAATCACTTAATTCGCACAAGTAAATTCAACAATTCAACTTGTGAAACAGTAAATGAATAATGTATGTAAATAGCTTGGCCTGTGCCCAGCTTACTCTGTCTAGCGTGGATGGTTGGATAAGGTAAATCCTAACCTAACTAGTGTGCTATAACTTAAACCTGGCTTTAGAACTCCCTGTAAATAATAACTAGGTTAAATCTGTCCTAGCTACTATAACTGTTGTAAATATTGCACAAGCCTAGCCTAACTGTGGCTACATTGCAAATCCACTGTAAGTAATTAACACACAAGTCTCCTACTCTGGATTACTTGTAATCACTGTAATAATTAAATTCACAAGCTTCTCTAGCCTACCTGGCCTGCCTGTAAATTACTGCAAATAATAACTTCTGTGTATAGTAGCTTGGCCTAGCCTGTGTAACTCTGGGCCTGGGTGCTAACTTAACCTAACTCTGTTAAACTGGTTCCTAACTGTGGTCTAGCTATGTTAATTTTAACCTAGCTATTCCACATCACGGTTTTCGAAGGACCACTTTGTGAAAATTTGTCTGGACTGCCTCCAAGTGAGTCACCTACCCTGGCAAACTCTGTTGACACCAAGCTCTGAGGTCGGTACCTCAGCCTCACAAGTGGCTTATAGGACAGATTTTCACAAATGATTGATGTTGCAAGAAACTCGCCTGCATGCACGTATGAAGGACTAACATACTTGGTGTTGTAGCAAATATCCTGATCTTCAACCTTCCTAAGCTTAGCCCCTTTGGACTTTCCCTCAGAACCACGTGCAACCGGGAGCTTTAATTCCTGCAATATTCAATCGTTATTAGTGACCTGCCTGCACCTCAGAAATTCCTATATCCAAGGGGGTGTGTATCCCCTAGTACAACTATGCAGACACGGACACTAGCTTCTAGGTAGACAAGAGACACTGGTACGTACTGGGCATGCACTGCCAGTTGCATACAGGCCTACAGTTCAACTCACAATTTTTCCCCAGACACTAGCCAGAAATCCTAAGAGAAAGTGGAGGTTTTGTCTTACTGTATGGGCCTGACGGAGGTCATCTACGGTACATCGAGGTGCCTCTACCACATTTCCCCAGGTCTCAAATGTGAAGACACGTGGGGGCGCTGTCTGCTGATCACGGCACGTGTTGTCCAGTTGGTGTGTCTACACAAGGGAGAGCTCATGTCTTCCAGACCCGCGCCTCATCCTTCAAGCTAGGGATGCCAGTTCTCCCTAGCTAACTTAACCTAGTGTTTGCCTACATTATCGGCCTATTACTACCTATGTTAAGGTCTTAGGTCTACATTATTATTATCTACAGTAGCCCTAGTAAACCTAATATTAGTGTACTACCAGTAAAACTACCTACTCCTTCCCTGAAGGGTAAATCTATAACTTAAATAGTGCTTACCAACCACGCCAACTCGGGGAGAACGCTTTTTGTTTGGGTGGGTTTAAGGGCCACCCAGTCCAGCCGTTCCATTTTGGTGATGGCCTGGCTATACACTACTTCTATATCAATCCAGCCTTCATTGAAGCAGAAAAATACCAACAAATCCCACAGTGCTTTAACTGTTACTCATGCCAGCATATCACCAAAAACTGCCCTGCCAAAGACAAGAAGTACTGATGAATGGTCTCAATCTTCAACAAGAAGTACTGTTCCACCTGTGGCCTTGAGGTCCACGACTTCAAGAATTGCACTACTGCTTCCCCACCGCAATGCTTGAACTGCAAGGATGACCATCATACTCTTGCTGCCAGGTGCCCTATCAGAAGGGACATACTCAAAAAACAACAGCAACAACAGAAGTCCAAACCACAAGCACCCACATATTCTGCTATTGCCAAGATTCAAGCAGACACTACCAAGATCCTACAAGCCACGCAAGCTGCTCCTACCACCTTCCTCACACCACCTGCTGCCGATCCTACCAAGATCCTATGTTGCATCATGTATGCTCATGTACAGAATGCAGCTGAGCCTGGCTCCTTCAACACCACCATCAACGAAGTATTCAAACTCAAAACATGCCTGAACTCACATTCCCTGCATCACCACCTTCCAGTGAGATCCTACAAACCACTGCAAATATTGCCAGCTTAACTGCTGTGCGACCACTGACACAACCTCCACTCGACATAGAGATGGACCAGTCTGAGACCACTGATACGTCGGCAAATCCCACCAATGAGAGTCCACCACCTCCTGCCTCCACCGCCACTGCAACTATCCAAGCCGAGGCCTTGCCTCGGACAACACAACCGCCAGCCAAGAAAGCTAAAACGCAGGAAGCAAGGGCTGCAACTCCCCACACCGTTACTACTGCTCCACCACAACAAGGAGCCAAGGTCAAGACTGCCAAAACTCAAGAACCAAGAGCTGCACCTCCCCAGGTCACCGTCAATCCCCCACGGCAACAAGAAGCCAAGGGCAAGAGTGGTGGACACGGCACAACCAACCAGAAGAAGAACCCAATGCAAACTCCAGAATGTGAGCAGGACATCAACGACATTGTGAAACCCAACTTAGAACACTTTGCCAACCGTATCTACTCCGCCCTCAACAATGCTGGAATCCACAACAAAGCACTGAGGAACAGGTTTAATCAGCTTGCTGCAGAGGGTTCCCCCCTCTAGCACTACCATCAAGACAAGTTTCCCCAGCACTTTGCTGCCTGCTAAAGCTGGGGTGTGGCTCCAATGGGACCCTGTTTTCTGCCTCTGCCCATCTGTGACGCTGAAGATCCCAAGCAAGAAGACACTCCCCACTTGGGGAGTCAATGCAAGAAAGAAGAAGTTACCCTCCAACCGGGGGGCCCAAGAGAGAAGATAGAAGAACGAAGAAGACGAACGACACCCCCACCCCGGGGGCCACCGCCGGGTCACCATCTGGAGAAGACCCGGGCCGGAATTACCGGCAAATCTCTAATGAATGAATGAATGAAGCCGTTCCATTACGGCCATTCTGGGACCCCCTTTGTACGCCGTATCTGTCCTGTGGAACTTTAGGGACCAAATAAATTTCCACACTGGTTAAACAGGCTCTGATCCACCAGGAGGCCTGGTCACAGACCGGGCCGCGGGGGCGTTGACCCTCGGAACTCTCTCCAGGTAAACTCCAGGTACCCACAGTCAGTGGCCAGGCTTCAAACACCTTTTATTATACAGCAATAAAGGAATGGAACAGACTGCCCACACACGACAAAGCCAGTCATAGCATGAACCAGTTCAAGAACAGAGCCAAAAGGTGTCTAATGAATGTAGCGACAGAAAGGGAAGGGAATTATTTTTTTTATTTTTTAGCTAACATACGTGTAATTTTACCTTACTCCTAGTAATGACGCTCGTATTGTATAGTCTTAATAACCCTCGTGTAGTAGATAGTCTCTTTAGTATAATAATAAGATGTAATCTTCATTATAGAATAATAAGAAAATATTATAACCTTTATATTATAATAATAAGGTAAAGGGACCCCAATGGAAATAAGTCACTCTGACTTTTTTGGGTTATCCCAGGTTCTCTACACATATGCTGCAATGTATGATAATCTATGTAACTGTATTTGTGTATACCTGAATAAACTTACTTACTTACTTATTGCCTGTACCAATTAACCATATGGGCTTAGCGCTTCCCCTGATCACTAAAAATAAAAAGCCTTCTGCGGATTTCTGTTGTCTGGAGGACTCCGGTTGCTCACTCAGTATAGTGTAGGTGTCTGGCTCTGCCCAAGGTCAGGTGTGGGAGCAACCTGAGCTAAGTGGGAATTTTTGTTTCCGTTTTTATTCTCGAAGGGAACTTTTGTTTCTTTCTTATTACCTTCACAGGTTTAAGCACTGTTCTTTACCTTACAGTGGCCTGTGGCCTGGTGGCAAAAGCTTTCGCTTCACACGCTGATTTTCCGGGTTCGATTGCCGGCGAGGGTAGAAACATTGGGCGTGTTTCCTTACACCGGTTGTCTACGTTCACCCAGCATCCTCAAATCCATAAATACAAAGCACCTATACGAAAAACAGTACAGAATGGGACACATAACCAGAGACCAAACAAAACGTTACTCGTCAATCCTAACCAGCCTGATAAGAAGGGCTAAAAATCTGTATTATGAGAACAGATTATCCAGCTTACGAGGTGATATAAAAAAGACCTGGAAAACCCTATCAGAAATTCTAGGAACAAAAAAGATATCACGAAATAGCAAAATTGAATTAACAAAACCAGATGAACCCAAACTCCCACCAACTGAAACAGCAAACAGACTCAATAATTTCTTCTCCACTATAGGAAAAAACCTTGCCAATAAAATCCCAAGCTCAGATACCCCACCCAATGACTACCTCACTGGCAACTACCTGAACACACTGTTCCTAGCTCCGACTAACACAACAGAAGTCTCCCTTATTATCAACACACTAAAAAACAAGGCAGGAGATTTAAACACCTTACCACCCTTCATATATAAATAAGCGTCACAAGTACTATCACCAATCATTGCAACACTCTTTAACAAATCTATAGAATCCTCTACCTTCCCTACAGTTCTCAAAATAGCAAGGATCACCCCGATCCATAAAGGAGGAGACCAAACAGACCTGAATAACTATAGGCCAATATCCAACTTACATCCTCTCTCTAAAATCTTCGAAAAATTATTTCATAAGCGAATCTATTCCTACCTCATCTCCCAGAACATACTCAACCCCTGTCAATTTGGGTTCAGGCCTAATAAAAATACTAATGATGCTATTATACACATGCTAGAACACATATACACTGCAATAGAGAAAAAAGAAGTCCCACTGGGATCTTCATTGACTTACGTAAAGCTTTTGATACAGTTGACCATGACTTGCTCCATATAAAATTGTCGCACTATGGTATAAGAGGGCACTCCCTCAACTACTTAAAGTCTTACCTCAGCAACAGAAGCCAACATGTGTACACAAACGGGGCAAACTCTTCCGCACAGCCGATTACAGTTGGTGTCCCACAGGGAAGTGTCCTAGGCCCTCTTCTCTTTCTCATATACATAAATGACCTACCAAATGCATCGCAACTACTCAAACCCACACTATTTGCAGATGACACTACATACGTCTTCTCTCACCCGAGCCCAGTCACGCTAGCAAATACTGTAAATACCGAATTACAGAAAATATCTACCTGGATGAGGACTAACAAACTTACTCTAAACATTGACAAAACCTACTTCATTCAGTTTGGTAACAGAGCTACAGACGTCCCTCTTAACATAATGATGAACGGATCACCTATCATAAAATTCACAGAGGGAAAATTTTTAGGAATCCACCTTGATAATAGACTCAAATATCAAACACATATACAACAAATTTCCAAAAAATTTCCAAGACCGTAGACATACCTGGAGTTTACCTGGAGAGAGTTCCGGGGGTCAACGCCCCCGCGGCCCGGTCTGTGACCAGGCCTCCTGGTGGATCAGAGCCTGATCAACCAGGCTGTTGCTGCTGGCTGCACGCAAACCAACGTACGAGCCACAGCCCGGCTGATCAGGAACTGACTTTAGGTGCTTGTCCAGTGCCAGCTTGAAGACTGCCAGGGGTCTGTTGGTAATCCCCCTTATGTGTGCTGGGAGGCAGTTGAACAGTCTCGGGTCCCTGACACTTATTGTATGGTCTCTTAACGTGCTAGTGACACCCCTGCTTTTCATTGGGGGGATGGTGCATCGTCTGCCAAGTCTTTTGCTTTCGTAGTGAGTGATTTTCGTGTGCAAGTTCGGTACTAGTCCCTCTAGGATTTTCCAGGTGTATATAATCATGTATCTCTCCCTCCTGCGTTCCAGGGAATACAGGTTTAGGAACCTCAAGCGCTCCCAGTAATTGAGGTGTTTTATCTCCGTTATGCGCGCCGTGAAAGTTCTCTGTACATTTTCTAGGTCGGCAATTTCACCTGCCTTGAAAGGTGCTGTTAGTGTGCAGCAATATTCCAGCCTAGATAGAACAAGTGACCTGAAGAGTGTTATCATGGGCTTGGCCTCCCTAGTTTTGAAGGTTCTCATTATCCATCCTGTCATTTTTCTAGCAGATGCGATTGATACAATGTTATGGTCCTTGAGGGTGAGATCCTCCGACATGATCACTCCCAAGTCTTTGACGTTGGTGTTTCGCTCTATTTTTGTGGCCAGAATTTGTTTTATACTCTGATGAAGATTTATTTTCCTCGTGTTTACCATATCTGAGTAATTGAAATTTCTCATCGTTGAACTTCATATTGTTTTCTGCAGCCCACTGAAAGATTTGGTTGATGTCCGCCTGGAGCCTTGCAGTGTCTGCAATGGAAGACACTGTCATGCAGATTCGGGTGTCATCTGCAAAGGAAGACACGGTGCTGTGGCTGACATCCTTGTCTATGTCGGATATGAGGATGAGGAACAAGATGGGAGCGAGTACTGTGCCTTGTGGAACAGAGCTTTTCACCGTAGCTGCCTCGGACTTTACTCTGTTGACGACTACTCTCTGTGTTCTGTTAGTGAGGAAATTATAGATCCATTGACCGACTTTTCCTGTTATTCCTTTAGCACGCATTTTGTGCGCTATTACGCCATGGTCACACTTGTCGAAGGCTTTTGCAAAGTCTGTATATATTACATCTGCATTCTTTTTGTCTTCTAGTGCATTTAGGACCTTGTCGTAGTGATCCAATAGTTGAGACAGACAGGAGCGACCTGTTCTAAACCCATGTTGCCCTGGGTTGTGTAACTGATGGGTTCCTAGATGGGTGGTGATCTTGCTTCTTAGGACCCTTTCAAAGATTTTTATGATATGGGATGTTAGTGCTATTGGTCTGTAGTTCTTTGCTGTTGCTTTACTGCCCCCTTTGTGGAGTGGGGCTATGTCTGTTGTTTTTAGTAACTGTGGGACGACCCCCGTGTCCATGCTCCCTCTCCATAGGATGGAAAAGGCTTGTGATAGGGGCTTCTTGCAGTTCTTGATGAACACGGAGTTCCATGAGTCTGGCCCTGGGGCAGAGTGCATGGGCATGTCATTTATCGCCTGTTCGAAGTCATTTGGCGTCAGGATAACATCGGATAGGCTTGTGTTAATCAAATTTTGTGGCTCTCTCATAAAAAATTCATTATGATCTTTGACTCTCAGTCTGGTTAGCGGCTTGCTAAAAACTGAGTCATATTGGGACTTGAGTAGCTCACTCATTTCCTTGCTGTCATCTGTGTAGGACCCATCTTGTTTAAGTAGGGGCCCAATACTGGACGTTGTTCTCGATTTTGATTTGGCATAGGAGAAGAAATACTTTGGGTTTCTTTCGATTTCATTTATGGCTTTTAGTTCTTCCCGCGATTCCTGACTCCTAAAGGATTCTTTTAGCTTAAGTTCGATGCTTGCTATTTCTCTGACCAGTGTCTCCCTACGCATTTCAGATATATTGACCTCTTTTAGCCGCTCTGTTATTCTTTTCCGTCGCCTGTAAAGGGAGCGCCTGTCTCTTTCTATTTTACATCTACTCCTCCTTTTTCTTAGAGGAATAAGCGTTGTGTACTATGTTCCACAGTCATCCCTCCTGGCCCTATATCACTCACTTATTTACCCCTGTCTCACCTATGGAATTTGTGTATGGGGCTCAACAACAATAAACCATCTCAGACCATTAATTACCGAACAAAAGGCTGCAGTTAGAATGATAACAAATTCCCACTACAGGCAGAAACACTCCACCAATATTCAAAACACTAAACCTACTCACCATACAAAACATCCATACTTATTACTGCACCTATTACATACATAGAACACTTAACTCTGATATAAACCCTCCCCTCAAACGTCTCCTTACCAACCTCAACAGAACACATGACCATAACACAAGGCACAGATCACTCTTTGATGTTCCTCGAGTCCATCTCACGCTATGCAAAAACTCAATGCACATAAAAGGCCCTAAAATCTGGAGTTCATTACCTGTGAATATAAAATAAACACTGTCTGCTTATAAATTCAAGTCTCTTCTCAAAAATCACTTACTCACCCACAACTAAATAAATACTGAATAATTGTATCTCATATATGTATCTCATTATTGTATCTCATAAATGTCTAACCTGTAACTCAATCAAACTTTATTTTTTAATTACATTACCTAACAGAATACTCCATTCTACTGAATGCTCAGCAACACAGTAAATGACCATATGACCTGTCTTTGTAATACTCATTTGTACTAAATTGTTATCTGTTTACAATAATGTTTTTACCACTGACTATATCATTGCTTAGTTAATCTTAAGTTAATTTTAAGATTGCACATAATGCTCTGCATACAAGGGGCTTTGGCATGTTGCACTGTAATAACTGTATTCCTTTGTACTTCACTGTATCATGTTGAAATAAATAAATAAATAAATAAATAAATAAATCAGTAAAATGGGTACCTGCGAGTTAGTTTACTGGTGTGGGTCGCAACTCGCATCCTGGGACAAAACTGACCTAATTTGCCAGAAATGCTGAGCATAACAAGCAGCTTTCTATATAATAGTATGTCACTTATGTCAGCTAGGACTGTATACCTTGTATATGTACCTGTAGTAAATAAAGATAATATTATATTAGGAAAAGTGAAGTAGGACTCAATACGGTATATGTTGTAGTGGCTCTATAAACCCCCAACAAAGACAGACAGAAAGGTATTAGCTTTAGTTTCTACAGTTAGTCTATAATATTTTGTCTTTTCTTGTCCCTTCAAGAAAATTATCGTGATGCTGGTGAGAAGCTCTTGATCTAAGGCACTGAACATGTTTATCAATTCCAAATCAGTTGGTATCCTCTCCAAGATACATACATTATACTACTTTAATATATCTCTATCTCACCTATGTTATTTGTACCTGAGGATCTACTACAGAAAATCACCTGAAGCCAATAATTACTCAACAAAAAGCAGCAGTTTAGTACCAGACTTGACTACTTTGCATTAGTATTAACATTAGTATTATTATGTACTAATATTAGTCTGCCTGAAATGCCCCAGAATGATAGTGGCTTTCTTTGTACCTAGCAAACCAAAATTGTAATTACACATTAAGGTGTCCCTGTAGCTTGATCGCTAGGGCACTCAGCTCACACACACTGAGGTCCGGGGTTCGAATCTCCTCCAGTACGGCTGGAAAATATTAGGGTCGTGTTTCCATAAGACACATGCTGTCCCTGTCCCTGTTCACCCATTAGTTCAAAATGGGTACCCGGGTGTTACTTTACTAGTGTGGGTCGCATCCTGGGACAAAACTGACTTAATTTGCCTGAAATTCTCAGCATAACACGTGGCTTTCTGTATATATAGTAATATGTCATTGATGTCAGCTAGGCCTGTATAACTTGTACATGTATTTATAGTAAATAAAGATACTGTATTATTATTATTATTATTATTATTATTATTATTATTATTATTATTATTATTATTTATTTTTTTTATTATCACACTGGCCGATTCCCACCAAGGCAGGGTGGCCCAAAAAAGAAAAACTTTCACCATCATTCACTCCATCACTGTCTTGCCAGAAGGATGCTTTACACTACAGTTTTTAAACTGCAACATTAACACCCCTCTTATTATTATTATTATTATTATTATTATTATTATTATTATTATTATTATTATTATATTGTATCCTTTACAAAGAAATAAAATCTTCATTCATTATTCTTTTATTATTCTTTGACAATACACTCTCCCACTCTTCAAAAGTCAAAACTTACTTAATATACATAAAATTAACTCATACTACTGTGCATATTATATATACAAGACAATCAGTTCTAATATTAATCCTACCCTGAAACTCTTTCTTGAAGCTGCAACAAAACTCATGGGCAAAGTACTGGACACAAAACTCTCTATGATGAACAAAAAGGCACAATAACAAGACTGGAACAATACACAAATAACCAGCACATAGGAGAGAGGAACTTATGATGATGTTTTAGTCCAAGTGAGTCCAAATGATCAAAGTCAGACCAAAACATAAGCTTCCCTTTCCTTTGTGCAGGTTATTTGTGCATCTGTAACATTCCCCAGGTCCAGCTCAACTTGTGTAAAAACTCAGTGTGCATAGAAAGCCTTAAAATCTGGAATTCTCTGCCTGAAGATTCCAGTCTCTCCCTGTCTGCCAGCCACCTTAATGTGATCCTAACAGTTTATTATGGTGATGACAATTTATTATGCTGAACAATTCCTGAAACCTTAAAATCTGTCTTTCATTCATTATTGTCCCTGTTCTTGTTGCATCATGCCTTCATTTCGGGTACCTAGCTTCATCCTTAATGTATCACTAATTAGAATTTGTAAATTTAATGAATAAATGAATATCTTAATAATAATAATAATAATAATAATAATAATAATAATAATAATAATAATTTTATTTTAGCAAGATACATGTTTGTACAAAGGAGTATAATAATTGGGTGAACATGCCAAAAGACCCATTATATGCAGAACATTTCAGGTAAACTTAAGACAGACTTAAGAATATTAAGGCAATAACAGTGTTGTCATTGTAAATATGGTCATTAGGTGAGGTATAATGAATACAAAAAAATTAAATATTCTATTAGTTCACTCTATATGGCTTTAATACATTAGGTAGAGAAGAATTGCAGTTCTGATATAGTATATAAAAGATAGAGTACAGTGGAACCCCGGTTTTTGTCTTTAATCCGTTCCAGAAGGTCGGCCGAATACCAATTTGTACAAAAACTGAAGTAATATTTCCCATAAGAGATAATGTATAATTGGATTTACATTATCTCTGTTCCAGACACCCAAAAATATTAACAAAAAATACATTTTATAGAGAATATAGTTTTACATACAGAAAACAGTGAGAAATATAAATGACTAATGAAATGGATAAATGAACATTTAACGTCAGTTTTACCTTTATTGGAAACTCTTGTTGGCATATGGAAGACGGCGAGGAGGGGGGAGGGAGGAGATGTTGTTGTTTGGAAGGGAAATCCCCCTCCATAAGGACTTAAGGTATCAAGTCCCTATCCGTGATTACTTCCCTTCTTTGTCTTTTACTGGCACTAGGACCAGCTTGAGAGTCACTGGACCCCTGAAACAAAAACTCTGTCCAGAGAGGCCTGTTTCTGGCATCTCTTTAAGATTTGCCTAAAATGGGACATGGCATTGTTATTGAACATGTTGCTGACATGGCTTGCAACAGCTTTGTTAGGGTGATATTTCTCCACAGAACTTTGCTCCTCACTCCACTTTGCACAGATGTCCTTAACCCCTTGACTGTCGAAACCCCAACTCCTGAGGTGTCTCCTTGTGTTGAAAAATTTTCGAAAAAAAAAAATTGTTTTTTCTTATGAAATGATAGAGGATTTTTTCCCGATGGTAATGACACCAAAAGAATGAAATTTGATGGAAAACTTACGGAATTACACTCTCGTGAAGTTAGCGACCTTGGCATTATTTACGAATCGGCGATTTCGCCAGTTTGGAGCTCTATTTTCGGCTAATTCCATTGTTCCAGTCGACCAAACTCATAGCTATTTCTTTAGAATTCTATTTGTTCTATCGATTGAGTAAAAGAAACTGCCCATTTACTGATTTCAACTACCCAATAACGTGGTTAGAAATTTGCAATTTGGCCAATTTCAAGCATATTAAAAAATATGCCACTTTCAAAATAGGGTCCAGAATGAACAATGCAGACATTCCTGGCTCTAAAATAACATTTTCTTTGTTCATCAGTCATGTCTCCAGGCCCCTCTGATATTACCCTTACTTTCTATTTTGAATTTTTATTCAAACAAAAAATAGAAGATTTACTGTTATGCAGACTACTGCAATATTGTAATAATTGTATATATAATGTCAACCCATTCGTGACTGCATATTAGAATGGCTAGTTGGACATTTATTGGACAATGGGCATAGTACTGGCATTTGTTTACTTTTGAACATCGGCAAAAATCAACATTTTCCCTACTTTGAGCTCCATTTCACGGTTCTTTTCATAGTAAAACCAATCAAAATCACCTCTATTTGTATAATATGTTTACCATTCTATCAAATGAGCCCAAGAAAACGAAAGTACAACCATAAATATTATACGAAAATACACACAAAGTCGGTGTTTTAATCCAAAAAAACGGTCTGAGTTGTTTTGTTACATTATGCACTGCATGCTGCAGAATTTTTTTTTATATGGTGCACACTGACCACACAGACCCATTCTCTAACATGTGGGCCTACCAGCTTTCTCCTGCTTGATTTGAAGCTGCTAGATTTTTCTGAGTATACGTATATATGTCAAACATGGTGGCTCGTAAGATGTATACAACCAAAACAGTCAAAGGGTTAATTGCTGAAGAAGGCACATTCTTCCCTCTCTCTTCCTCCTCCTCTGAAGCAATTTCCTCAGCTAAAGCCTGTTGTTGTTCCAGATGAAGGTCTTCGGATGAACGTGTGGAGTAATGCTCACTGAACGAGTAACAAAGGCAAACTGAGTCATGAACGTTTGAGCAGCTGCGTCCCACGGGCAGGCAGACGCGTCTGGTATGGACGATTTCCAAGCGGATGTACAAAAACGGGGAAAATTTAGCTGAAAAAAGTGGTTGAAAACTGAATTGTACGATAACCGGACTGGATGAAAACCAGAGTTCCACTGTATTACAATTTAAAACAAAGAAGTTGAAACAATTTTAGGTTTGACGTAGTGATTAAATAGTTGAACAATCATCAAGCAAAATTTACAGTAATGAAATTGAAATAATTTTGAGTTTGAAGTAAATTTTCAAATAGTTGAGAAGTCTGGTTAATTTTGGGTGATGAGGTGATTTCTAAGTAGGGCCTTAAATTGATTTGTAGGCAGGGGCTCTTTGGTGTGTTCTGGCAATGAATTGCAGATCTTCGGGCCCTTTGTGTGCATAGCATTTCTGCATAGGGAGAGATGGACACGAGGGATATCGAAGAGTGATATGTCTTGTATTATGGTTGTGTGTTGTTGTAGTTATCAAGTAGGAGTTTGAGAGGAGGGTTTAAATTTGAGTGTAGTGTTCTGTGTATGTATTAGGCACAATAATTAGTGTGGAAGTTTTGTATATGTGTGGAAGTTTTTTATATTAAGTAAGTTAAGACTCTTGAAAAGCAGAGGAGTATGCTGTCTATTACAGGGGTTTGTAATCAGTTGCACTGCATCTTTTTGTTGGGTTATTAAAGGTTTAAGGTGATTTTCTGTGGCTGAGCCCCATTCACAAATACCATAGGTGAGGTAAGGGTAGATGAGAGAGTGGTATAGTGCAAGAAGAGTTGATTGGGGTACATAGCACTGTATCTTTGAGAGGATGCCTACTGTTTTGGAGAATTTCTTGGATATTTGCTGTATATGAGTTTGGAATTTGAGATTGCAGTGTAGGCGGAGACCTAGAAATTTGCCCTCTGTGTGTCTAGAGATGGGTGAACCATTTATCAGTATGTTTAGCTGTACATTTGTAGCTCTGTTTCCAAAGAGCATAAAATAGGTTTTGTATATATTGAGAGTAAGTTTGTTGGTGGTCATTAAGTTATAATTATATCAAAGGTATTTAATGTCAACAAGTATGTGAGCAAGACATGTGCAACAGTTAAGTACCTTTATTCTGAAATGTTTCACCTACACAGCAGGCTTCATCTGTCAAATATAGAGGTGGCAGTAGAAGTGGTGGAGAGATGATGTAATCAGTCCATTACTCTCGAAATAGTTTTGAAGTGGTCAGTCCCTCAGCCTAGAGAAAAGTTCTGCTCTATAGTCTGGAAGAAAGCTCACCATATGTAACAGTCTGATTAGATTTAAACAGGGTTGAGTGAAAGGACAGGTTTCTCATGAAGGTCAAGTGTAGAGTTTGGATGGAATACATATCATTGATTAGCAGCCAATGCATGTCAGAGGTATGGAAGGTGGTGTAATGCATAAGGAGTATTGCAGTGACTAAAATTAAATTTAGTTCATCAGAGGCAGGTGTGTTACAGCAGCAGACCTGCAGGCATTGGCAGATAAATTTGCAGTTTATTAATGGTAAATGATGAAGAAAAATTCAGGCTGAGGCAGTACAACGAAGTCAACAAATTTATTGACAGCTTGGGAAGAGGGATATGATAAGAGTGTTTTTATAGTGACTTACTAATTTATAGGAGGCTCAATGTGACTTAACAGATACTGCTCCTTGTGTAGATGTAATTTGTTATATCCATCTCTGAGGATCAACTGAGGCACCTAATGTTAGTTTAAAATTTTGTATGATGCAGTAATCAGGTTTTCTTTCAATGGCAAATAACAGTTATTCTCCCTATGCTCAGTTATTATTATTATTATTATAATCAATACTTAGCACTAAATCCATAAGGCATCCTTATTAAAGCCTTATAAGCTTTCATGCTTCTTAAGTTCCTATTGTCCAGTCTCACTCACCAACTGTTTTTGTAAAATACAGTGCACATGAAAAATTGTCATACATAATTTGTGAGGCATTTGGACATTATCTGAGAACTGAAAGCCACCTTAACAGGTTAAGAATTTTCCATTCAACATATGATTCATCATTCTATTGTGAATGAAGCTCGGTAACAATTTCTCTGCAATGAATTTTGTTTGCAATATTATTAGATATTTAGTATGCATATATGGTAAGACTTCATGGGCTCTAATACAAAGTCAATGGGCTGTGTATCTGGGGATACTTGTAATGTTTATTAAGAGTTTTTTGCAAGATAGATGGGTAAAAGTGAGGGTTGAAGCATGTGACTCTCAGGTAAAACTTTTTTCAGGGAAGTGTGATAAGTCCTACCCTTTTTAACAAAATGCTAAATGGCATCTTTGCTTGATGTACAGGTACAGTAGGTCCCTGACTTATGATCATCCTCATTACAGTCATCCGCACTCACGATTTGATTGGAGCAATTTGTAACCGATTAATTAATTACAAAAACTTATTTCCTCTTCTGAACTGTAGGACTACTTGCAACTGGAGAAATTTCACTTCCAGTGAGTAAGACATCATCAGCATTCAAGGTAATTATTGTACAGGAGGGCCCCACTTTACAGCTCTTCACTTTATGGTGTTTTGATAATAGTACAGTGGTTTTCAATTATACCCACTCTTCATTTACTCAGACTTCCTACAATAAACATATTCACTACTCACTATAAGTAGTAATGTGTGTACTGTATATGCATTTTTTAGGCCTAGCTTTATTTCTCACTTAATATATGATAGTGTAAATATGGTGGACCCTCAACCAACGGCATTAATCTGTTCCAGAAGGCTTGCCATTGGTCGAAATTGCTGTTGGTCAAGTTAATTTTCCCCATAAGAAATAATGGAAATAGAATTAATCCATTCCTGACACCCCAAAGTCTGATTTTTTGTTTTTAAATGAAATATACATTTCCTTATATGGAAAGGAATGGGACATGCAAAATAAACAATAATTAAATGCCACTTACCTTTATTGTGGAGTTGTTGATGAGTGATGTGCCAGCAGCAGGGAAAATTTAGAATTGTCTATTGCTTCGAAGGAGAATCCCCTTCCAGAATACATAGAGGTACCATGGTTCCAAGTCCTTTGGTGGGGTTACCTCCCTCCTTGGTCACTGGACCCCTGTTGCACAAAATAGCTGTCCAGAGAGCTTTGTTTCTCACATGCCCTTAGGATTTTCCTAAAATGGGACACAAGAGTGTCATTGTACATGTTGCCAATGTGGCTTGCAACTTCAGTGACAGGATAAAATTCTTCGATAATTGCTTGCACCTTTGTAAACATTGAACATATTTCCCTAATCCTTGATGAAGTCATCTTCCTCTGTCTCTCTTCATCCTGCTCTGAAGAACATTCCTGAGATGTGATCTGTTGCTGTTACTCCTGAAGCTCTTGCAGGTCTGCAGTGGTTAGTTCTTCCTCGTCGTTCTACACCAACTCTTCCATATCCTCGTCACAAACCTCCAACCCTAAGGACTTCCCCGATGACACAATAGCTTCCACTACTGGCATAGCCTCCTGAGGGTTAGCCCCAAACCCTTCAACATCCCTCTGTTCTACACATTCTGGCCACAGTTTCCTCCAAGCAGAGTTCAAGGTCCTCTTAGTCACTCCCTCCCAAGCCTTACCTATAAGGTTTACACAACTGATTACATGTGTATATTGAAGTGATCTTTCCAAAGCTCTCTTAGGGTTAATTGAGTGTCTGAGGTCACTTCAAAGCACTTTTGAAACACTTCTTTGGTGTACAGTTTTTTGAAGTTTGAAATGACCTGCTGGTGCATGGGCTAGAGGAGAGGAGTTGTTTTAGGAGGCAAAAACTTCGCCTTAACAAAATAAGACTCCACTGCAATTTCCTCTTGCAAGTCGTGAGGATGAGCAGGAGCATTGTCCATTACCAGGAGGCACTTGAGTGGCAATTGCTTTTCCTGGAGGTATTTTGTCACACTGGGGCCAAACACACCATAAAACCAGTCCAAGAAAAATGTCCCTAGTGACCCATGCCTTACTGTTTGATCTCCACAGCACACACAAATTACCCTTAACGATATTGTTTTTCCTGAACACACTTGGAGTTTCATAGTGATACACCAATAAAGGCTTCACTTTGCAGTCACTACTAGCATTACTACACAACATTAATGTCAGCCTGCCTTTCATAGGCTTATGTCCTGGGAGTGCCTTTTCCTCCTGAGTAATGTAGGTCCTATTTGGCATTTTCTTCCAAAACAGGCCTGTTTCGTCACAATTAAACACTTGTTCATATTTTAGGGTTTCAGTCTCTATGTATTCCTTAAAGTCCTTCACATATTTTTCAGCCGCATTTTTGTCTGAACTGGCTGCCTCACCATGCCTTACCACACTGTGTATGCCACTACAAATCTTTAATCTCTCAAACCAGCCTTTGCTGGCCTTAAATTCATCAGCAGCAGCACTATTTTGAGGCATTTTCTTAATGAGATCATCATGCAATGTCCTTGTCTTTTCACAAATTATAGACTGAGAAACACTATCACCTGATAATTGTTTTTCGCTTATCCATACCAATAAGAGTCTCTCTACCTCGTCAACTATTTGTGGTTTCCGTTTTGAAAACATACTTGAACCTTTCGCAACAACAGCTTCCTTGATTGCCTGTCTGTTCGCCAAAATAGTACTGATGGTTGAATGTGATTTGTTGTATTGTCTTTCCAACTCAGCCATACGCACTCCACTCTCGTATTTTTCAATGATCTCCTTTTTCTTTTCTTCGTAATTCTCACCCTTTTTAACACAGGCTTGGCACTAGAAGCTTTCTTGGGACCCATGGTGGCTTATTTAGCAGTTACAAGCGCTAGAAATAGTGGGATAATCCAAAATATATGGGAGGCACATGTGGAAACCGACTGCAACAGCTTGTAAACAATGGCACACTGACTCTTGGAGTAGCTGGGCCTGCTCACGCCGCACTCCAGGCACATTGACACGTTCCGGACAAACATCGTTGGTTAAGGCATTTTTTTCTATGGCAAAAAGCGCCGTTAGATGAAATTGCCGTTACTTAATGCTGCCGTTAGTTGAGGGTCGATTGTATGTTATCAGGCTTTTAAATGCATTGGAAAATGAAAAAGGCTGTTTCACTTCACAGCAGTAGCCTGGAACCTAACCTGCTATATAAGTGGGCCCTGCTGTACTGAATACTGTATTGTAGTTCTGCTCTGTGAAATTATATGCATAGTACATATTAATAAAAATAAAGCAGTCAGAAAATTATATGCATAGTACATATTAATAAAAATAAAGCAGTCAGAAAATTATATGCATAGTACATATTAATAAAAATAAAAATAAAAAAAAAGTTATCAAAATTTGCATTTTTGGAAAGCCCTTGGTTATACAGAGCATTTTGGGCATATCAGAACTTGAGCTTAAAACTAGTTATACAGTTGAAACTAGATTATTTCAGTGCTAGGTTTATTATGAAGTTTTTGATAAGATCATTAAATGTAACGATTATTTTAACCCTTTCAGGGTCCGTCCCATAGAGCTATGGCTTTGAAGCCAGCGTCCAAACCATAGATCTACACCATGAGCTCAGCTCACTCAAATAACCTGCGAGCGGCAAATTTAGGCCTAGATATGAGAGAATACATCTATGTAGTAAGTGTGTACCACATAAAACAAATCCTGCAGCACGCAGTGCATAATGAGAGAAAAAAACTGCGACCTTTATTTTGGATTAAAACAGCTACTTTGCGGTGTTTTTTTTTTGTATGTTTTTTAACAGTTGTATTTGTGATTTCTTGGTCTCACTTGATAGAATGGAAGACATATTACAGAAAGAGAGATGATTTTTGTTGGTTTTAGTACAGAAAATGGTTTGAAACTGAGCTCAAAGTAGCAGAATTGTTCGATTTTTGCCAATGTTCAAGAGTAAACAAATGATGTCACGCGTCCAATACACATCAACTGGTGGGTCTAACGTACGTTCTCGAATATGCTAATATTATTTATACAAGTATTACAATATTGCATAACAGTAAATCTTCTATTTTTTAGTGTGAATTAATATTCAATATGTGAATAAAAAACGAAAATGGAATTCATTTGTAAAGCCTGAAAACATAACTAATGAACAGAGGAAATGTTAGTTTAGTGCCAGGAATGCCTGCAGTGTTTATTCTGGACACCATTTTGAAATTGGAATATTTTGACCTGTGTTAAATTGGTTAAATTACCAATTTCCGATCACTTTATTGAGTAGTTGAAACAGTTGACTGGGCAATTTCTTGTGCTCAATCGATAAAATAGAAGTAATACTAGCGAAATAGCTAAGAATTTGGTCAACTGGATTAATGTAATTGGCCTAAAATGGGAGTCAAAGTCGGCAAAATTGCTGATGCGTAAATATTACCGAAGCATCAAAATTTGTGGGAGAGTAATTTCGTCAATTTTGCATCAAATTTTGTACTTTTTGCTTTATTACCTTCAGAAAAAGATTCTCTACCATTTCATAAGAAAAAATAACAAAAATTTTTTTAAAAATTCTTGGACCCTGGCTGTCACTCTGAGATTTGGCCTCTGGACCCTGAAAGGGTTAAGTAGCAAACTCTGTACATTTAACCCTTTGACTGTTTCGGTCATATATATATGTCTTACGAGCCAATGTGTTTGACATATTAATACGCCAAAATTCTAGCGGCTTCAAATCAAGCAGGAGAAAGCTGGTAGGCCCACATGTGAGAGAATGGGTCTCCATGGTCAGTGTGTGCACTATAAAAAAAATCAGGGAGCCAGTGGTGCATTGTGGGAATGCCATTTCAGTAGCTCTTGTTCAGCATGCCTAACGGTAAGAAATATGTGACTCCCCAGCAAATCTGGGACTCTTCTGTTCCCAGGAGTCACAGGAGTTTGTGACCGAAAGGATTGCCCAGGATACCAGAAGAAAGAAAGAAAGAAAGAAAAAAAGAGAAAAAAGGGAAGAAAAAGAAAGAGAGAGAGAGAAAGATAGAGAGGAAGAAAGAAAGAGAAAGAGAAAGAAAGGAGAGAGAAAGAAAGAGGAAGAGAAAGAAAGAAAGAAAGAAAGAATGGTAGATAGTTACAAAGATAATAGCATTTGTATATAAGTGACCAGTGGCTATATATGTGTATATATATTATAGAAACCAGAAGGAAGGAAGGGAGGAAAGAATGAAGAAAGAAAGAATGAAGAGAGAAAGAATGAAGAAAGAAAGAATGAAGAAAGAAATAATGAAAGAAAGAATGAGGAAAGAAAGATAGGTAGGTAGGTATATAGGAATGATGACACATGACCATTTACCTAGGATAACTACTTAACACAACTGCCTGCTACTACTTTGAAGAAAACTGCTCAGAAGAGGTGTTTTGTCTGTGCACATATAAAAAAACCGCCCACAAAAACCTAGAAACACTCGTTTTATGTGTGAGGAGTGTAGAACACCATTGTGCATACACCCATATTTCAAAGAATTCCACAAGCTGCAGCAGTTCTAGGAAAGTGTCCAGTGATTGTACATTTGTATATATATTATA